CTATCTGTATACTTAAAGATTTTGGGGGAGGTTTAGGTTAGAATACGTTTTATTTAACTACAATTTTAAAATATTTTCACTTTTAATTTTTAATAGACTATATTTCTTTTTAAAACAAGTAAATGTATTAGAATCACTTACAGTATGTAAAAATAAAAATATCTATGAGAACACCGGATTATATATCTTACTATCGTTCTTTCTTTCTTCGAAGTGGGCTTATCAGCAGCTGCATCAAGTCTCCGCATATGTCAAGCGTTTGGGGATAGTGCTGTGGATAAACGTACTGCAAGGCGTTGGTTTCGAAAATTCAAGTCAGGAGATTTGTCTCTCCATGATGAGCCTCGCAGTGGACGAACACAGGTCTTGAATGACGGAGTCCTGAAGGCGACCATTGAAGAGGACAGTAGTCTAACGTGTGGTGAACTTGCAAGACCGTTCAACGTTCCCGCTGAAACAGTTAGACTTCACCTGCACCGCCTAGGTAAGACGTACAAACTGAGCAAGTGGGTTCCACAAACGCTGTTGGAGGTCCACAAGGGACAGCGAGTGGCAGCCTGCGTATCGTTGCTTTCTCGCCACCGTACTGCATGCTTATTCAATCGAGTGCTTACCAGTGATGAAAAGTGGGTTCTGTACGAAACTCCCAAGCGTTCCAGACAATGGTTGTCTCCTCAGGATGCTGTCCCTCACACCGCAAGACCGCCTATGCACCCACGCAAGATTATGCGTTGTGTCTGGTGGACAGGTCGTCAAGTGGTTCATTATGAACTACGACCAATGGACCAAACGGTCACTGGAGACCTATACTCGCAGCAATTGAAACATGTGCAACAGGCATTGCGCCAGAAGGATCCAGCACTGGTGAATCGCAAAGGTGTGCTTTTCCTCCATGACAACGTCAGGCTGCATGTCGCGCGAGTGGTCAGGGATACCATATACCAACTTGGGTGGGAGACTTTGTGCCATCCACCTTATTCACCTGGCCTTGCGCCATCCGATTACCACCTCTTCCACTCCCTGGATAATCATCTTCGTGGGAAATCCTTCACCAATGAAGCAGACCTGCGCAAAACCCTCACGGACTTCTTTGCGTCAACACCTCCCCCCCCCCCCCGAGTTCTACCGCAAGGACATTGAACAGCTGGAGACACGTTGGCAGAAGGTGCTGGATGCTGATGGCGATTACTTCGAAGACTAAATATAAATTACACATACTGTCAAGCGTTTTCTATTTTTTCTTTAAAAACGGACAGAACTTTTTTGGTTACCTTGTATATATATATATATATATATATATATATATATATATGCATGGGTGTCTGTGTTTATTTAAGATAGAGGGAGAGAGTAAGGAGAGAGAGATTTGAAAATTTCCAGTGTTATTGCCTTGAAGAATATTAAGGAAAACTTAGAAATGTCGGAAAACAAGATAGCGTTTTAATGTTTGTCCTGTCCATCAACGGGAGACATAAAATCCAATGACAACTTTTTGACTGCCGTAGGCCCACAGCCTTCTTTAGGTGATCGGAATTTCGTACCAAAATCCTTTATTTCGCCCACCGGTAGATTGTTCTAGTTCCATGTGCCATACCTTTTCCAGATATTTCAGTACCAGTTATCTCCCTTTTAACTCAACTCTCCCAGTTTTTGTATTGAACTGACAACTCTTTGGGTCAAGGGACTGTATTCAAGCAACGCCTTTATCCACTGAGTCATCTGTCCATGAGACCATCAGTGTATGAATTTTGAGAACTTATAAACCTAATCTCTCAGTAACAATTTTTTACAAGAACTCATATTACAATATGCTGTCATTATTTTTTTCTCTAACACCCGCATTACTACTTCCCATAATGTATTCATTTCTATGCTTAGTGCGCTTAACAGACTTTTATGCTCTAGCATATGTGCTGATTCCTTAAGTTTTCGAATTTTCCGTTGATGTTCCCTGTCTGTTATTTCAATCACATCCCACAGGAGACGATATTCTACCTTTTCCCTTCATATGTGGCCAGCCGCGCCTGATTTGTCTATATTTTCTTTTAAGCAAGACGGGAAGCCAGTAGCACGCAAGGGGTTACAGAGAGTTGCAGCTAGAGCAAATAGGAGTGATAGAGGAAAGGATGAAGAGAAGGATAAGGATAGATCAAGTCATCTGGAGACGTCGATTGACATTACATTTGAATAATTGGAGATTATAGCTATCAGGGAAACAAAAAAGGGGAGGGAGTTCCACAGGCGAGAGGTGCGAGACATGAAGCTATTGGAGTAGAAGAGACGGCTACATTTAGGAGTTTCAACAGTGAAAGGGTGAGAAAGAGATGCCAGCCTAGTAGAACGCTTAAATTCATGAAATCTGGGAACCAGAGAAAGCAGCTCATCGGAGCAGTTACCGTGAAATTATTTGTAAAAAAGACAAAGGGAGGCGAATGCACGTCTGTGAGAGAACTGCAGACGAGATGCCAGATCAGGGCCAATTACATTGCATATCCGTCTCTGGATCTTATCAAGAACCTTGAGACAAACAGAAGGGGCACCGGACCAGATATGGCAGCAATACTCCCCTCGTGTTACGGCTTTACGGTGTTCCTGCAGTCTTATCTTAAGGTAGAGGCCTGTTTCTCCTAGATATTTCTTACCACAGCTGCATGGGATGGCGTAGACACAGTTCTTAATCATGTTCTCCTCTATGGGCGGTTTTACTCGGAAGAGGTACCTGTGAAATGCTGAACAACTTTTGAAAGTCGTCCTGATATATATGGACCACAGATCTTTTGTATTTTTTTCCGATAATCTCTTCACATAAGATAAGCTGACAGAGGCTGTTTTCTGAGTGTTTTTATCCTCTTGCATCATTCTATCCCTGTTTTTTTGGAACTGCTCTCATATACCCAGGGTAGTTATTAGGTTGTACGGTACTACTTATACTGACCATTTCTTGTTCATATATCCCTGGGTCCGAATTTATGACTTTTGCTCGATGCTGTAGGCAGCGGATGATCCCTTTCTTTACACTCTCTGGGTGGCGAGAGTTGAAGTTCAGGTATTGTCTGGTGAATGTTGGCTTGCAGTATACGGACATCTTGAACCCACACTTGGTTTGAGATATCAGTATATCCAGGAATGATAGATTGCTGTTATTTTCTCTATCCATTGTTAACTGTGTCGATGATCTTATTGAGCTCACATGATGTCGCCAAAAAATCGATTTTGTACGGAATATATCACGGTCAATAAATGTGAATTTGACATTTTAAGTGCAACAGACTTGGCTCATCACGCAGCCGACATAGTGGGTCAATTCTAACCTCGAGAAAAGGAGTTCGATTACTGCTGATGCATGAGTTTTTCCCTGTTAAAATAAATTCTAATCTCTGGTTATTTCTAAGCTTTGTCGGAACTGGTAAAAATATTTGAGTCTCTATTCGTTTCAGGCTCTTTTTGCTTTTCTCTTTTGTTTCATTTTATTTTTGGTTTGATTGTTTTTCTTTGGCCCTTTGTTGACATGTGGAAGTCATATCGACCGGAAACTGTTCCCTCTCCATTCTTGATGCTATTTTTCTTGCCTGAGGACCCGTTTAAAACATATACCACACTACTGGATGCCACCAGATACAGGCTTTATGTTATTTTTTTTTTTACTTCCTTTTTTTCGTTAATTTACGGACATATGTCCAGTTCCCTGGCGTGTATAATAAAAGAATAACATTTCAAGATGTCTCTTGTTAGAAGAAAAAGATGAATGAGGAATAGATGAAAAGAAGAAGACACATTAAGTCGAGATTAATAATAATAATAATAATAATAATAATTAAAAGAAGAAGAAGAATACGAAGAAGAATACGAAGAAGACGTGGTAGTATTAGTAGTAATGTCTGAGAAAAATAAGAAGTGCGTCATGGAAATAAGAATGACAAAAGTCGATCTTAAGAATGCAAAGATATTGGAGAAATCAGGACTAAAAACAGAAACCAAAGCCCCAAGAGAAGAAGAAGAAGAAGAAGAAGAAGAAGAAGAAGAAGAAGAAGAAGAAGAAGTTAAGATGAGGGCGAGATAAAAAGGGAAGAAGAAGAAGAGAAATTAAGACGAGATTGTAAAGAATAATAAGAATAAGGCAGACATAAAAGAAGAAGAAGAAGAAGAAGAAGAAGAAAAAGGAGGAAGAGATGAAAGAGAAGACGACGAAGAAGAGAAATTAAGAAGAGATTAAAAAGAAGAATAATAAAAAACACGAAGAAGAAGAAGAAGAAGAAGAAGGGAAAGAAAGAAGAGATTAAAACGAATAAAAAGAATAAGCATAGGTGAAAGAGAAAAAGAAGATGAAGAAAAATGAAGAAGAGATTTTTTTATTATCACAATGTTGGATATTTAATAATAATAGCGTTAAAAGTAGAAACAAAAAAATGGTTAGACTATAGGAATTTGGTAAATGTAGCTTCGTTGTGGCAAAAGGCTGAAAATATGTTTGGCATACAATGAGGATTGAACTCACTACTAAGGTGTAATTGATCTCGCGAGATAAGCTTATTAACCATTACGCCACATCGAAGGGCTCGAAACTTACTAAGCTAAGTCGTGGAACAAAGTCGAAAGTGTTGAGAAACCAGTGAGGATCGATCTCACTACGCAAAACGTAACAGATTTAGCAAAACAATTTTGTTAACTATTACATTACATCATTGTGCTCTATATACCTAAACACATATTTTAAAAAAATTAAACTGAAAAATTGATATTTCAGCGTCCCCTCCTCGTGCATATGTAATTACATCAATCTGATTAGTCTGATGAAGTCCTAAATGACTAAACGAATCACTCGAAAAGTTGTTTTTTTTTTTAACTTTGTCATTACTGTAATTTTCTTAACATTCGTTATTAAAATTGATTTCCAAAGACTGAATTTACTTATGACTCAAAAATAGTCAGTTAGTAATTTCTTTCTATCTTTATTTCTTTCATTTGTTTTTCCTTCATTAGTTCTTTCTTTATTTCGTTAGCTCTTTCGTTTTTCTTTCTTTCTTTCTTTTTCTTTCTTTCTTTCTTTCTTTCTTTCTTTCTTTCTTTCTTTCTTTAGTTCTTTTGTTAGTTCTTTCTTTTTTCTTTCTCTCTTTCGTTAGTTCTTTATTTCGTTAATTTTTTCTTTAGTTCTTTCTTTCTTTCTTTCTTTCTGTCGTTAGTTGTTTTTTTCTTTCGTCAGTTCTTTATTTCTTTCTTTTCGTTCTTTCTTTCTTTCGTTAGTTCTTCCTTCTTTCTTTCTTTCTTTCTTTCTGTCGTTAGTTCTTTCTTTCGTTAATTCTTTCTTTCTTTAGTTCTTTCTCTCTTTTTTCTTTCTTTCTGTCTTTCTTTCGTCAGTTCTTTCTTTCGTTAGTTCTTTCTTTTTTCTTTCGTTAGTTCTTTCTTTTTTCTTTCTTTCTCCTGTTAGATCTTTCTTTCTTTAGTTCTTTCTTTCTTTTGTTCTTTCTTTCTTTTGTTCTTTCTTTAATAAGTTCTTTCTTTTTTCTTTCTTTCTTCAGTTCTTTCTCGCTTTCTTTTGTCAGTTCTTTCTTTCTTTCTTTCGTTATTTCTTTCTTTCGTTATTTCTTTCTTTCTTTCTTCAGTTCTTTCTTTCTTTCGTTATTTCTTTCTTCTTTTTTTCTTTCTTACTTTTAATAAGTTGTATAAAATTCATTCACTTCTTTTTCAGTTATATAGTGTCACCAATGTATCTTAATGTCGTTAAGGTTATGTCCGCCGATAATAAACAAAGACGTGTTCGCTTGGTACCATTAGGGTAATATTAAGTTTATTTGAGTCTGACAAGTTTCGGGAACATCGTCAGCCTCAAACTCCTTTCCCTCGTTATCGCTCGAATCTTTCACGCTCTACTTAAGGCACCTAGAGCGGATCGAACTCACTTTACACACCCAAATAGTCCTTATGACATTCTTGCTTGCTCGTCGTCCCTATACGGTTGGGGCTTGAGAAGCAAATTAAAAATTAAATTGGCTATTAATAAAAAAAAATAATAAAAAAACAGGTGTAAAAAATATGTTAGTAACTCATTCAAAAAGAATTTAAAAATGAAGAATTTATCAAGAAAAGAAGGAAAGACTTAAAATATTCGGATATTTAAATGAAAAAAAAAAGAAAGAAAAAAGATATAAATTAAAAAAATTTAAAAAAATCTTTAAAAATCAAATTAAAGAATAAACGTGAATAAAAAAATCCCTGAACTCTCGTAATGCTTTTTCTTTTTTATAAATTTATTTTCTAATTTCTTTTCTTTAAGAAATAATATCGATCATTTTACCCCATCTCATTTCAATTTTTCTTGGTTCATCGACGTTGCTTATGCCGGAAGCAATGACGTTTGGAAATTTTAATTTTCATTAAAATTAACTTGGTAGTCACATAATTTTATTGATATTTACTATTCCGTCGTTCTTATGCTACAAGGTCACATGTCTGTAGAACACGTTTTCAATCGAAGGCTTTTGTCTGCAAGAACAGACCAAAATTTTACTGCATAGTAACGGCCATCTGTGAAGTTCAGAATGTTGGAATAATATATTCTTCAAGAGATTCTTATTTGTTTTATCTGATGCCATATTCTATGTCTGGCCAATCGTCCCGAATCTTTTTGGAGTAAGGTTCACCCTGTACAAGGCTCGAGAGCCACTCTAGGTAGGGGGTTCATGAGTTACAGGTACAGTTTATGCGGATATGGTGGGGGTAGATAACGGTTAACCCTAGACTTGAACAGGATAAGACTGTAGTGATCGAGGAAGTATCCTCTTGGGAGTCGGTTCCGCTGTGCAGTGAGACGCTGGAAGAACTAACGAAAGAGAGAAAGAAAAAAGAAAGAACTAACAAAAGAAAGAAAGAAAGAAAGAAAGAAAGAAAAGAAAGAAAGCAAGAAAAACGAAAGAGCTAACGAAATACGAAGGGAATGACGATGGTTCGATAGAATGTGCGTGGAATGGCGGATCCTAGCCGTGAAGGTTAGAACTGGTGGAATGTAGTTCGTCTGAGCACTTTTCATGGAAGTAGCGATAGAGCCGTGAGAGTCTTCCTACATCTCATCTGTGAGAGAGAGGTTCTAGGGTGGAAAATAATTCGTCGCCCACAAGGACCCGGAGACGCCTTTGGACTCTATCAAGACTGGGAAGGTGAAGACTGGGCAGCTGTTGTCAAATATGACAATAGTACTCCATTTTCGACCTGATCTGTATCTTGTAACGGCAAAGGATAGCACGAGGAGTCAGGGACTTTCTGTAACGATACAGGGAACCGTCCATTTTCCCGGCCTCTTTAGCGATGGATAGTATGTATAAGTCCCGATTGAGGTCTGGAATGAGTAAGGCCCAAGAATCGCTAAAGGTTCAGAGCAGCCCTGAGGGGACCTCCATTCATCGAGACTGGTGGCAGTACAGGGTTCAATCGCGATGCTATTTTTTTTGTACTGCTGTTCCCTCAGTTTCTCTACGGCAAAAACGGGGAACACCTGTAATCCTCGGAATATACACATCAGCTTAAACTTGAAATTACGATGTGTCACTGCTTTCACCATCGCCAGCTACGAATGCGAGCCAAGGGCACTGATCAAAAGGGAAAAGACACCGGATTGATACATTCGAAACGTGGACATATCGCAGAGTCCTTCGAGTGCTATGTCCAGCGAAACACATTAATAAGTAGGTACCATCTAGCTGCTATTGGGGAATTTTACTACCTGCCTGACCCTGGTGGGTTTAGTGTCCATGGTGGTAGTCCTGGGTGAAGAGCAGTTCTGTTATTCTCACTATTGTACACGTCTGGTCTGATGTTTACACTGCAGAATCTTGATATGTGCGTTGGGGGACAAGCAATATTTGAAACAAATCCTTCATGAAAGTCTCTCGCTCCTTCAGAAATTTCGCTCGAAAGGCACAACATTTCGACAAGGGATGACGTTTCTTGCGCAAGGGGGTAATATACAGTAGGGGCTGTTGTGTATGGCTGTAGAAGATACTTCAGTTTAACGTACCAATATGACTGATGGTGGATTGTATCTGAACCTTGGATCGTTTCTAATCCTTACTTGTTGCGTGACAAAAATCCACGAAAATGAAAAAAAAAAAAAAAAAAGAACATGATGTTAGTTTTTTATATTTCGATCCAACTAACAAGACTTAACATCAGTAAGAAGCAGCTGAAGTTTCTGGGACACATAACGAGGAAGGAGGACCTGGAGAAACTGATACTCACGGGTTGAATAGAGGGAAAGAGAGACAAAGAAGGAGGAGGGTTTTACTTAATATCAGAAAAAGGCAGCTGAAGTTTCTGGGACATAATGAGGAAGGAGGGCCTGGAGAATCTGATACTCACGGGTTGAATAGAGGGAAAGAGTGACAAAGAAGGAGGAGGCTTATACTTAATATCAGGAAGAAGCTGCTGAAATTTCTGGGACACATAATGAAGAAGGAGGGCCTGGAGAATCTGATACTCACGGGTCGAATCGAGGGAAAGAGAGAAAAGGGAGACTTAAGCAAGTGTATGATAGAACGTGGTCTGGGGAAGAAAGCAAATGGAAGGAACTTGTTGAAAGCTGCAAGGGATAGAGGGAGGTGGAGAGCCATGATCGCCTACGTCCTGAAAGGAAATGGCACATAAAGAGAAAGAAAGAACGAAAAAGAAGCCATTATTTTTTTTTTACACAAAACAACACATTAATGAATAATTACATATAGCTTTGTGAATTCAGAGTTACTTCCTGCTAGACAGTTTGCCATCCAAGGCTATAGAACCCAGTCTGTCCTGCTTTTTACCCATAGCTGGGGGGAGAAGAAGAGGATTCACACCTTTCCCAAGAGTATTAGCACGTAAGTGAATGTAACGGATCCGAGTGGAATTCGAACTCGGCTCTCCGATTCTCCAATCTGAACCGCTATAATTCATTGTACCTGAATAGGGAGATGTAGAGAGCCATGATCGTACTGTGGAAGGCTTATTATTTTGGACCATTTCAGATAATCGTATACTCATGTATCATTTTCAAAAATGCTGCCATTTCTTTTCCTACAATCCCCACCTATTCCCATCTTGCCACATCTGACTTCCTGTGTCGGGGTGTGTCATAAACACCCTATATACTTACCTTCAGTATTTAACTTTCTTCTTCAGCTTCTTTTTTTTTTTCGCCATGTCGGACGGATTCCCACAACTTATTGTTCAGTTCGTAATGTTTAGTATTTCCGTCTGTGCAAAATATGGCAGGGCCCATCGTGTAGAAGGCAAACATTTCTCGTTTGTATTCTTTCTTTTTTTTATCCTTTATGTACTTTCTTTTTTTTCTTTGTTCTCTTCTTTCTTTCTTTTCTTTGTACTCTTCTTTCTTTTTTCTTTCTCCCTCCCTCCCTCCCTCTCTCTCTCTCTCTCTGTTTATTTTATCTTCTCCCATTGTTCTTCTCTTTCATTTCTCTTACGTTTTTCTTTAATTTCTTTCTTTTTTTTTCTTGTGTATTTTCAATATATTTTTTCAGTGGACGGACAGTCGCATACTGGACATTTACGTCCCGGTCAATTGCGTCCATGGATACTTGCGTCCCTAGACAAATGCGCCCTTGTATAATTTCGTATCTCTGATAATCTTTTGAAGTTACCATTTGTTTTAGAGTTGTTTCATATAGAAATTTACACGCAAATACTTTTAATTACTCTAAACAAGAAAGGTAGTTGCCATAAATTTAAAAAAGACAGAAAAATTCTTTTTTAAAGCAAGAGAAAATGAAGCTAACAGTTTCAGTTCACTCCAGCATCGCGTACCACAAATATTTAATAGATTCTCGATTTTATAGATATTTTTATTTGGAACCCATGGCAAAGTTTCGAAAATCAAACACTAGTGGGTAATTACAGCTATCACTATCATAAGAAAAACGCCGATAGAACAAAAACATAATGGCGATGTGTAGAGCGATCTTGCAACACTCTGTAACTGTCATTGCACTTTAAACAAAAATAAAATTTTATTTTTTATTTTATTCTTTTTGTTTTAAAAAATTTATGATTACTACCCATGTTTTTTTTTTTTTCCAAATTTATGGTGATTGCATTTAAAAGCTTCAAAAATTATCAGGGAAACGCAATTATCCAGGGACACAATTGTCCGGAACGCAAATGTCCGGGACGTAATTTTCAGGACGCAGATGTTCAGGACGCAATTATCCGGGACGCAAATATCTGGGGCGCGAATGTCCGGAACTCAATTGTCTGGTACGCAATTATCTGGTACACAAATGTCCGGGACGCTATTATCCGGGACGCCATTGTCCGGGACGCAAATGTCCGGGACGTAAATGTCCGGGACGCAATTTTCCGGGACGCAGATATCCAGGACGCAATTGTCCGGGACGCAAATGTCCTAGAACCATTTTTTTCATGAGATTCTTTTTTACGACCTTTTTTTTTTTATTTATGTTTTTCTTTCTCATGAGAATTCTTTCTTTTATTTTCGCTTTTTCTGTGTCCGTTCTGGCCGTTGGCGATCATGGCCCTCCATAATTTCCTATCCTTTGTAGCTCTTAATGAATTTTGTCAATTATCTCTGCTAAACTATATTCTGCCATATATTTGACTCAAATCACGAATTAACTTATGCGCTGTTTTTTCTCTCTCTCTCCCTCCTGACTTCAATATTTCTCAAGTTTTTCTTTATTTCCTTCGCCATTTTTTCTTCTTTCTTGCGTCATTTATTTCGATATTCCTTCTTTTTTTTTTTGTTTTTCGATTTTTCTCAATTTTATTCTTTTATTTTTTTTTAACATTGCCCCTTTCTTTTTTCTTTCTTCTTCCATTTCATTCTTAATATATCCTCACATTCCTTCTTTATCTATTTCTTAGATCCCGACTTTGCATTGTTTCTTACTTTCTCTCTCATTCCTTCTTTCTTTTTTATTTTATATATATATATATATATATATATATATATATATATATATATATATATATATATTCATTCATAAACAGTACTGTTTCGCTGTATCACAGCTCCTCAGTGCGATAAGACATCTGAATGCCTCCATCCAGGATTGGAAACCAACCAATTTGATGTCAGTCAGAGTTTCTACCACTGAGCCATCTTCTTCATTCGACAGAATGAGCTAGCTAAATCTAGCGTATTGCTTTTACGAATGTAAACAAATTCCAATCAGCCATAGGGCTCGATTCATTTTACTGAAGAGCTTTACATTAGCGCAGGTGGCTATTGTTTATAGAATTAGCTTGTCATTCAAGAATGCTTAATTGAAATATATTTTTTGAGCTATGTGCGTATATATATATATATATATATATATATATATATATATATATATATATATATATTAGTAGTAGTAGTAGTAATAATCTTATAAGTATAAGAAATTATACTCGTCCGGAAAACCTTCAGTGTTTTGATTTGCAAATAATCAAACCAATACCAAAGGGAAAAAAAGGTACACAAAGAAAAAAAGAAAGAACCAAGAACATGTACGTTAGCCGAAAATAATCGTCCAGCATGCGAGTCCAAAGTCCAAAGAAAAAAAAACCCGATACGAGTAGGCAAAATGACTAAATAAAGTGCTCGATACAGTAAGTAGAGCAAACCTAGTTAAACCTAGAGAGCCAGACAAACCTACCAAGGATTTTCATAAGTTCCACAATGGTTGACTTAAAATCTTCCATATTAACGTAATTTTGTGTAAGTATTTTCCTTTAGTGTAGCCTGATATTCTGGAACCTGTGTACGCCAAAAAAAAATTCCCTGTGTAGAACTTGTGTCTTTGTTACAAGAGTAAAGTTGATTTCCCCCAAAAAATTTTTCCTTATTTTTTATATGTTCGCGTAGAACTTGTTTTTTAGAATCTCCACGTAGAACTTGTTTTTTCAGTTTTCTCGTCGACACTTATGTGCGACGGATAGCAAAAAAGGTATGTCCCCCGCGTAGTGAGTTCGTTTTTTTTATTTTTTTTTAGAGTTTCTTCGTCGCCACTTGTTATGGTCCAAGTTCCTTGTACCACGGTGATGGTCCAAGGGTAGAACCAATGAAAGAATAACACGAACACAGGTATGGAATACAAAGATATATTACAACAGAAATATAATACAAAGAAGATGTATTAGTAATGACTATCTGATTTGGTTAGAGTGAACTATGTTGTCTCGACAAGTATCACTATTCCAATGTCCTTACAATATGCTCTCAATTATCTCTCCTCGTCTTACAATCTCCTCATACCTTTTGAGAGGCGTAGTATTTATAATGGCAGGAATAGTCCATTATTATTATGGGTAAGTTCCCATAACAGATAGATAGATAGATAGATATGAACAGACTGATATAGATAGATAGATAGATAGATAGATAGATAGATAGATAGATAGATATGAACAGACTGATATAGATAGATAGATAGATAGATAGATAGATAGATAGATAGATAGATAGATAAATAAATATAAATATAAACAGAATAACATAGAAACTGGCATAGACTGATAGAGAAATAGATGTATAAGAACACACTCAGATCGATAGCTAAACTAGAATGTTAGATATCTGCTTCTTTCGAGTAAGTGTGTACGTATGTTCATGTACACATGGAGTTGCTTACATATTTTTAATCCTGAACCAATTCAGAATGATATGCGCGCATATGTGCGCCAAAAACGTCCACTGCGGACCTCGCCCACGGCCAATAAAGTGTTGTTGACTGCAAGCCTATCATGTGTCCAACAGATAAATCTCTTTTAGCTTTGGAAGTCATTCTAATCTATTACTAGGCGTCCGTTTGACTTCATGAAGCGTATATTTCATACCGAAGATGACCTACCACTAAGTGAATCTTATGCCGTAACTTTCTTATTAATCGATGTCATTTGAATAACTGTGGTGATTCATATACATACATATATATATATATATATATATATATATGTGTGTGTGTGTATATATATATATATATATATATATATATATATATATATATATATATATAGTTAAACCTAGAGAGCCAGACAAACCTACCAAGGTTTCACCTAAGCGGATCAGCAACAGAAAAACGAACAGAAACATCTTGAATTACAAGAATTATTGCTACGTGCAATGTCAAATAAAGGGCAAAATTCCGAAAATGAAACAGTTCTCTCACAAGACGCTATTTGGAGCACTATCGAAGATTTCACGTAAGCACCCGACGAAGACAAAACCTTTGCAACTTACTTCCGAAGGTACGAAGATCTATATTAATTTGACTGCAAAAATTAGTCAGACGCAAGAGAAGCACGACTACTAGTAAGAAAATTAGGCACATGCGAATATACCAAATCCGTAGATTATATCCTTCCGAGGAAAATGAGTTAACTTCCAAAGAAGCCATAAAACTGTTAACAGAACTTTTCAGCCCTAATACCTCCCTATTCCACAAAAGATGGAAATGTCTGAATCTAACAAAAAAGGAGAGCGAAGATTACATAACTTTCGCTTCCATTGTAAACAAATATTTTGATGATTTCAAGTTATCGGAACTCAGCCCGGACAATTTCAAATGTTTAATATACGTCCAAGGCCTGGTTTCAACGAAAGACGCGGAAATTAGACGCAGAATCCTTACAAAATTGGAGAGTGAACAAGATTTGACACTTCAAAAACTGTCCGAAGACTGCCAGAGATGAATAAGTGTAAAGAAAGACTCAAAAGATATAGAAGAAGCTGGCATCGCACACATACGTAAAGTACGAAGACAAACCAACTTTCCCTCCTCACAAACAAACCAAATCAATTTTCCCTCCGCAAAAACAGGTCAAACAAATTTTTCTACTTCAAAAAGTCAATATCAGAAAAAACTACCACCCAGTCCATGCTATCGCTGTGGGACTTGGCATTGGTATAAAGACTGTCCATACTGTTTTAAAACTTGTCTATCATGCAAAAAAGCAGGACATAAAAGTTCTCATTGTTAGACTTGAAGAGAAAGCAAAAGCAGAATAAGAATCACGATTACTGACCAAGCGGATGAGACTAACATAAGAAAATACGTGCAAGTAGAAATGCAAAACAGAAAAGTCACACTACAGTTGGATTCCGGGTCGGACTTAACTATTATTAACGTACAAACATGGAGAAAACTGAACAAACCTACCATGTTAAGAACCGATAAAATTGCTAGATCGGTAAGTGGGAAAAAAATAAAATTTGAGGGTGGAGTGATTACAAATGTGACATTCAATGGAACAACCAAAAAATTGAAAATATATGTGCTAAGAAATACAGAAAACTTATTCGGTACGGACTGGATGCAAAAATTCGAACTTTGGGATTTATCAATAAGTATGTACTGCCAAAATGTAAAAAGTTTATCGATCGAGGCAGATAAATTAACAGAGAAACTAAAAGAGAATTTCCTCGAAATATTTTCAGCAGGTCTCGGAAGATGTAAGAAAATGGCAGCAAATATAGAAATAAAAGAAAACGTTCAACCTATCTTCAAGGAAAAAAAAAAGCGTACCGTTTGCTTCAATAAAAAAAATAGATCAAGAATTGGCGAGACTCGAAAACACCGGCATATTGACAAAAGTAGAATACAGTCAATGGGCTGCACCCACGGTTTATGTAAAAAAAAAAAAAAAAAAATCAGGGGAGATTCGATTATGCGCTGATTTCTCAACGGGTTTGAACGCAGCGATAAAAGACTACCTCTATCCTCTGCCCAGTCCAGAAGTATTCACGAAAATCGTCCAGAAAAAAGAAGTTGACAGAACCTTTCGTAATAGATCCAAAGAGAAAAAAAATATTAAAAACCCTTGCAACGCAAAAGCTTCGGGAGTGGGGGGGTGTTATGGGAACTTACCCATAATAATAATGGACTATTCCTGACATTATAAATACTTCGCCTCTCAAGAGGTATGGATATTGTAAGACGAGGAGAGATAATTAAGAGCATATTGTGAGGACATTGGAATAGTAATACTTGTCGAGACAACATAGTTCACTCTATCCAAATCTGATAGTCATTACTAATACTTCTACTTCTTTGTATTATATTTCTGTTGTAATATATCTTTGTATTCCATACTTGTGTTCGTGTTATTCTTTCATTGGTTCTAACCTTGGACCATCACCGTGGTACAAGGAACTTGGACCATAACACTATCTGTTGATGTCAGTCCGTTCATACCAGCCTATGTCATTCTATCTATCTATTTATCCATCTATCTATCTATCTATTGATGTCAGTCCGTTCATATCTATCTATCTATCTATCTATCTATCTCTATCTATCTATCTCAATATATATTGGTTTGGTTTGGTTTGTTTTACGGCATATCAACCTCAATGGGTTATTTAATGCCGACAAGATTTTTATTGCTGGGAATATTTTCTTTTTTTCCAAAAAATGTATTGCTGGTATCAAAACATATTTTTGCATAGTGTTTTGACCTCAGTTTCGGGGTTAACTATTTGCCCATAGCTGGGATATTTACAGGTTCTACCACCTCGGGTCAACTTGGACCACGGAACACCAACAATTAAGAGGTGGTTCAACGCTCCTCACTCCCACGATCAAAGGCCTTGCTGCCGGATGTAGTTTATCCAAGATGCCTCCTTTAGAGGGGGTAAGAGTCTTAGCCATCTGCAGAGGTGCAGTTGGCGTATTCTGAAGCCCCTAGACGACAGGGCATTTAATTCTATTTGTAACATTTTTATCAGGTTGTCACACATGAAATGACGCACTTTACAGGAAATGAATAAAAAGTTTCTGAAATGTGAAATAAGTAATTTATTCATTTGAAATAGGCAACATGTTAACGAATGACTGTTCTCTAACGGACATTTAAAAATTTCTCATTCTTTGATGTGATAAAAAGTTCAAAGAAATTAATTAGATTTGGTTTGGTTTGGTTTTTGGCATATCAACATCAATGGATTATTTAATGTTGCTGGTAATATTTTTTCCCTAAAAAATGTATTACAGGTAATATTTTGTTCCCTCAAAAATGTATTACAGGCAATATTTTTTCCCTCAAAAATGTATTACAGGTAATATTTTTTCCTCAAAAATGTATTACAGGCAATATTTTTTTCCTCAAAAATATATTGCTGGTAATAATTAGTTACAAAAATGTATTGCTGGTAATATTTTCCTTCAAAAAATTAATTGCAAGTATTAAAACTTATTTTTACACTTTCACAGTATTTTGACTTTGGGAGTTAACTATTTGCCCATTGTTGGTCCCCTAACAGGTTTTACTGCCCTGGGTCAAGGTGGACCTGGGAACACCAGTAATTAAGAGGTGGTTTCCTCAAAAACCTCCTGATGAGAGGCCTTGCTGTTGGACGCAGTTTATCGTCTTACCCAGGACGCGGATGTAGGTTATTGTCACAACCAGGACGGGAAATGTTCTGGTAGATATTTCCTGAGAAGAAAAATAAGTCAGGGAAAATTCTTACATATCATCAAATATGGGACAAATGACAATCCTATTTACATTCTGGAATAAGAGAATATAAATGACAGAATGTGAAAAAAAACAAAAAAAACGTAATGTATAAAACAAAAAAAAATGGATGCTGGCTTTTAATGCGTTCATCGTTCTGGCAGAGTGGCTTTGAGGAAAAATACTATGTTCCCCAAATAAATGTCATTGTCTTTAATATTTCGATACTGTTGGCAATGATGGATTTCAGAAGGGGAAGACATCGACGTAATCGGTGTCCGCTTCCTGACGATGTGGCTGGTATGGGCTGTAAAAGAGCATTTTGATGGAGCCATGATAAAAGCCCTTAAGGCAACCAGGAAACGTGACTATTTTAGTGTTCTCAGCCACCAAATTATAGTCAAACATATTCAGCTATGAATGGTTCATTATCTATCTATCTATCTATCTATCTATCTATGACAGTTTGTTCATATCTATCTATCTATCTATCTATCTATCTATCTATCTATCTACGTCAGTGTGTTCATATCTAAGTCATTTTGTTCGTATCTATCTATCTATCTATCTATCTATGTTAGCCTAGTCATATCTATCTATCTATCTATCTATCTATCTATCTATCTATCTATGACAGTCTGTTCATATCTATCTATCTATCTATCTATCTATCTATCTATCTATCATCTATCTATCTACGTCAGTGTGATCATATCTAAGTCATTGCGTTCATATCTATCTATCTATCTATCTATCTATCTATCTATCTATCTATCTATCTATCTATCTATCTCATTCTCTTCCGATCTATCTACCACATTTTACCGAAAGCTCTAATTGCCAGACCGGTACGCGCTGCAATGTCTACAGAACACGAGTAGTGTTGGTGATAAATCATTCTTTTGCGGTTTTGTAAAAATGTATACTCGTTGCTAATGTCACCCGTGATACAAATCGTGATTGTGAAGAGGGGATTATAAAACAAATATATCAAAAAGGTTAGATATATTGAGGCACAAAACTATTTCTCGTTTTTGAAGGCTTAAAAAAAAGGAGAGAGAAATATTATTGGATATTTTTCTCCCTGTGTCACTGTGTGGGCTTTTCACCTTAGGTAAGCGTAGGTAAGATGCCTTTCGACATTTTCCTTTTTTTTACATCACACTCTACTGGACCATTCTACAGTTCCGCGGCATAAGTTCGGTTTTCTGCCGCCAGAAACTCAATTTTTTTCAACTCAATGGTTTTCGCAAAATGATTTCTCGGCACGGCATATTTCAGATTTTCGTGCCAACTTTGAGCAATTTCCATCATGCAATTTATATTTTGCGCATTGGAAATCGAAATACCAAATTTGTGGTCAGGAATAAATGCACATTTTACTTACATTATAAATATATTATACGTATAATATAGAACCCCTTTTATGGATTTACTATAAAATGCTTTGAAAATCAATTTACTGGTTACAAATTATACTAAGACAACAATAAGAACATTACATGTATAATGTAATTTAATTACTAACGGATTTTACTGTAAAATGCATTGAAATCTATATCTATAATTCTCAAATTGTGTGTGTATGTATGTGTGTGTATGTGTGTTTATGTATGTGTACGTATGTGTGTGTATGTGTGTGTGTGCATGTGTGTGTATGTATGTATGTATGAATGAGTGTGTGTATGTATGTATCTGTGTGTGTGTGTGTGTGTGTGTGTGTGTGTGTGTGTGTGTGTGTGTGATCGGATGTTGTTTATGCGTTTCCACAGATTCGATGATTTACGATTTCGATGCAATTTTTTTTTCTTTGATAGATAATTCTTCGGTGCCGGTTTTGAGTCCAAATTGTTGGCGACAATGGCTCTCCACTACTTCCTGCCCATTATAGCTCTCAGCAACGTTTTACTATTTACTATCAGTTCTTGAATATATATCTTTCATAAAAAAAAACTTTAATAAAAAATAAATACTTTAAATTATTACAATAATATTTTGTATATCTATAATTCTCAAATTGTGTGTTTGTATGTATGTGTTTGTGTGTGTATGTGTTTGTGTGTGTATGTGTGTTTTATGATCGGATGTTATTTATACGTTTCCACAATTTTCATCTGATTTTGATGAAATTTTTTTTTGTTTGTTTGATAGATAATTCTTTAGTACCAGTTTTGAGTCCAAATTGGCTGGAAAAAATTACAACCTTGAAAAGTCGAAAAAACTGATTTTCTACACTTTGCATAAAAATCAAAGGTAAAATTTAATGTCTGTAAAAAACGGTGTACAGTCAATTTAGAGAGTTGAAATCTAATGCAAAAGATTATTACAATTATAAAAAAATATACATTCTAAATAAAAATTATAATATTATTATTATGACAGTCCATGGAAGAGGTTCCTTCTTTGCAAGATTGAGAACTTAAAAACCCCCATCGAAATTCTTACACCCCCCACCCATTTGGGGATGTGCCTCAGTTGCACCCAAACGTTGTAACTAACATTGATTTTCAGGTGGGCTGACTTTAAACTTAAACTGCTCTAATTGAACGGCAAAAATTCCCAGTAATGAAACACCCGGGCGATGACGGGTTATATTGCTAGTATTTTTCATTTGTTTTTCAATGCCTATCTTACAAGCAAAAATACATGTTTTCAAGAAATTAAATTTTCAACATTTTATTGAATTGAATATTAACAAATAACATCTTCCATATGATTTCCATCATTTGTGATGCAAAGGTTGGTACTCTTTGCAAGATTCACGTGAATGTTACGCAAGACATGCTACAGCGTGTTTGGCAAGAGCTGGACTACCGTCTTGATGTGGGTTGTGCCACAGGCGACGCGCATATTAAACATTTGTGAAGCCTTATGAAATCGGTTATAAAATCTAGATCCCTTTGAATATATTGTTCGAATTTTGATAAATGAATCTTTTGTTCAACATGAAGCCAGTTTGCCTGGGACACCTAGTCAGTCAAATATCTATACCGAATAAATACATTCCAGTGGTCAGTAATTTATACAAAGGTTATTGATATGAGAAGTATAAATATCTTTTACATGATGTTTAAAATAGATATGTATTTGAAAATCAGGAAGAAAATTTATCAGTGGCCAGAAATTTATGCATGTGTTACTGTTAGAACGTGGCTACGTTTACATTATGGATAAAAATGTATAATGTAAATGGTTTTATTTAAATACCCAGGGTGTCCGTAAAGTCTGGACAATTGGAAAACTCATTAACTACATATTTTTTTTTTTTACTTCCACAGATTAAACAAGGTTTTGTTAAAAGAAGAAAGAATTGACTTCTTTTTCTGGGGTATGCTAAAGGAGAAGGTGTACTCAAAGAAAATCACAGATGCAACACACTTGACGGAACGGATAAAGAGTGAAAGGGGCTAAAACTGACAGCAATGTGGAGATACAGTACCAAGTTTGCATCACAGATAATGGAAATCATATGGAAGATATTTGTTGATATTCAATTTAATAAAATGCTGAAAATTTAATTTCTTGACAACATGTATTTTTGCTTGTAGATAGGCATTGAAAAACAGATGAAAAATCTTTGCACGTGTTACAAAGTTATCATACAGGATGTCCTCCCCAGCAAAATTGACATAAATGAAAATGTGAATATCTGACTAGATGTCCCAGGCAAACAGGCTTCATGTTGAACAAAAGATTCATTTATCAACATTCGAACAAGATATTCAAAGGGATGTAGATTTTATAACCGATTTCATAAATCTTCACAAATGTTTAATATGCGCACCGCCTGTGGCACGACATACGTCAAGTCAGTAGTCCAACTCCTGCTAAACACGGTGTAGCATGTCTTCCGTAACATTCTCCAGCGTCTCAGTGATTCTCGGATTAATTTCATCTTAAATATAGTCTTAAGGTGTGCTATATTTATGGGATAAAGTGCCCAATATCAGAGATAGAGCGTGTGTAAATATAAAAGTGAACATTGAAGTCAACACTTAGAGGCGACAGGCTGTTTCATGCTAGACGCAATCGTCAGGCCTGATGATTTGCGTCTAGCATGAAACAGACTGTTGCCTCTAAGTGTTGAATTAATGTTCACTTATATATATATATATATATATATATATATATATATATATATATATATATATATATATATATTATAAAAAGAAAGAACAGTAACATATATAATCCAGTGTTCTTATTGAGATTTTTATTTTTACAAAAAATGCTCAATGTAAATTTACAGAGCATACATATTATAAATTAACTAATTTAATAAATATGGTTCCTTCACTACACAGGAATTATCATGTTTCAAAAACGAAGCTAAAAATTTTCAAATTTAATTATATAATTAAATTAAAAGCATTAGTTCTGTTTCATCTTCAAGCGAATTTTAGAATAACTTATTTTTAAATTTACTGGGTTTTAAACGCACATACAATCCATAATTTTTTGTTTCCAAGGATACAGAGAAATCCAATCATTTATACAGGGGCGGTAGCGTGTTCATTTTTATTAACTATTATTCTATCAATTATGGGTTTCATTCGAAAAAGAGGCTAAGTCTAGGTAGGTTAGGGGTGTATTTTTCAACGAATTATGGCATCCGTTCAACGCATGTCGTCTGTTTTTGTTTGTTTGTTTTTTTTTTTGTTGTTTTTTTTTTTATCAACTTGATAAAGTATTTCGACATTCTGACGAGAAACAGCACATAAAAGAAGATCGTATAAGAACAGTTGTTTCGACGTTATACGGCCGTAAGTCATTTTGTGATAAGAAAACTCGATTCCTTCACGAATATTTTTAGTAAATTTTTTTTTTTCTGAAACTTATGAAGGTAAACGTTTAAAATTTTAATTCGCAGACAATAGTGTTGTTTTGTTTCTGTTTTTCGTGACTGTTTTGCGCCTGTCAGTATGTCAAGGCTACCTACAATGGGCGGGGAATACGTAACTAAAATGCCTATCCTAATACGTGGTAATGATCTCCATTAGAAATGTGCGGTTCTGAGCAACCGCTCAGAAGTAGGCCTGCTTCTTCTGCCGTGACTAATCGCCTGGTTGTCTAAACCTATTGAGGTGAAATGATGTTATTATTCTATGATTCATCCGTTCTAGAATTCCCACATTTGTTGTTTGGGTCGTCACGTTCCTCGGACATTTTTTTCCTGTTGCGGAATAGTCTAAGATTTGTTTCGTTTTTTTTTTAATCGATATCACACCATCGAAGGTATTAAAGCCACTGAGACACACTGGATTCTAGGGCGTGGAAGAATTACGAACAAAAACATTATGAATGAGCGGGAAGAGAAAAGAGTAATCAGGAGTACTGTAGATAGCGATTGGCATTGCATTTAAGTTTATGCAGATTAATGTTGGCTGGACAGCATGCAGCCAGAATGAAGTTCCACAAGCGAGAATTGCGAGAAAAGAAAGTGTTAGCATAGAATTTACGGTTACATCTTAGCCAGGTCAATTGTAAATTGATGGGATCTCGACACCAGTCTTGTACTGCGTTTAAATTCAAACAGGTACCATAGCGAAGAGCTCTCCCGAACACGTACCATAAAAGGATTTTTAGAAAAGACACAGAGAGGCAACCTTATGGCGGTAGGAAAATGACTGAAGCCGAGATGCCAGGTCAGGACCGACCAATAATATCGCAGATTATTCTTTGGATTTTGTCAAGTCTCTCAAGGTAAATAGCAGGGGCACCGGACCAAATATTGCAGCAATATGCTAAGCATGGATGAATGGTAAACTTATAGATATGTAAGATAGATTCTGGAGAGAAAAACTGTCTAGCAGGACACAGTGAACCGACTTTCTTAG